TTGAACGTCTGTTTATGTCAATAAAGTGAATAAAACTTGTTTTTGCAAGTTTCTGAAAACCCGTTTTGAAATGAAAATGACGCCATTTATATTATGGACGCTAGTTGACAGACATTATAATAAATTTGAACTTATGTTATATTAAATTAAAGATAAGTAAATTCCCTATCCACTGGTATATAATATGACGTGTTTTCATCAAGAAAATCAATATTTATTTTTGAAATACGAGTGTCTCATTTTTTTGGACCAGCCTGTAATAATGTAGGTAATTTTAACTAATTTTTGTGTACTTTCAGTTCGGTGGCTAGTGAGGCACACGCTTTGAGACTCTTAACTCAACAACCTGCTGGTCAGATGCATTAACCTAACTGACGTGATACTTCTGAAATATATCATTTGTTGACCTGGTACAAAACCTTTTGTTTCTTCAGAAAAAGACTTTGAATCTGCTATACTCTGTAAATGCATTTATGATCAGTTGCCAAATAAAGAGAGTCACAATATCAGTAGTTTGTATCTCATGTTATTAAATCATACCATAGTGTATTAGTTGACGTGTTTTATATTCTGAAGCTTTAAAAAATAATTTTTGAAATGCATATAGCATGGATGGTTAAGTAAGGTATGCACAATAAGACAGGTTTATCTTTTAGATCAATTCATTATCTCAAAGAAAATTATATACTGTAATAATAAAGTCAAACAAACTCGGAGATATTTAACTAGCAATCAACCCATCAACACACTTTTTCAAAGATGTTGACCCCATTTTCACCAAAAATGCAATCATTTTTACAATGTTTAATGCATTTCTATTCTTTATGTTGATGTATCAAATAGTTCTTGAAAGAAAAACTTAATCGCTTTAAGATAAGTGTTCCCATGTTATTTCTCCATTGAAAAATCTCATGCTATCCATTGGTTTCAGTTCATTTTGGTCATCCAAATTCAATATCTTTAAAGTCCCCGGAGCAATCAACTTTTCCTTTTAGGAAATCGAACATGTCTCAAAGCACATTCTAATTATGCATTCAAAAATATAATAAAAGGTTGCATTTTTGGTGAAAATTAGGTCATCATTTTTGAAAAAGTATGTTGATTGGTCCATTGCCCCTTCAATATCACTTAGGTCCGATTAACTAAATTATCAATATATATACTTTTCTTGAAGATAATGAATGGATCTAAAAGATACACCCATGTTCATGATCAGAAACTATTCATAATTCAAGTTAGAATCATTTGAAATTGTTTGCGATAACCTACGTGCTCCTTTCCTTAAATTTGAGAATAATATAGCCATACTTTGAAGAGATTATTGCGAAATTCTACATAATGCGGCGGCCATTTTGAATTCTCCCTTTCGCGGTTCGCTCTTTGAATCAATTTAATTGCAAAACGTTCGCAAATATGTAATGATAAGGCACTCAAAAAGGACAAAATGTGATTGGTCAATATTTTCCCACTATGCATTTCGCGTAGCTATTTGCGTGACTCGAGCTCTAAATCAAACTAATTACGCAATTTTGTTTTTACACCCGCACGCTAAATAAAACAATGACATCATCGGAAGTATTCTTTTATGTCATTGCTTTGATAGTCAGTATACCGAGTTTAATCAATAAAAGATTGTACAATGAACAACAAAATTTGGAAACGAGTACTATAGATTTGCTTTCGGGCAACTGAAAAGATTGACCTAGATACATGTAATAGCGACGCGTCTTCTTTGGTCTACTGCTCAGTTGTTTGTGGGTTTTCAACGTACCTCTATAATGTAATTTGAAGATGAATACTTTTATTCAGTTGTTGAATCGATGTTGCAGTTTGTAGTGCGGTAAGATTGGCATGAAAGTATTGAAAGTCGAATGAAATTAATTTTTCCAATATGGCGACTAGTCAACTGATCACGTGACCTTCTCTTTCGTAATGTTTTCTCATTTTTCAATCATCGTTTTCACCACGCTATAAATCAATACAATGAAATAGCTGTTATATTAAGATTAATAAGAGATCAATCGTTTCTAATAATTTTTTCTGTACTCTCGTACGGGAATATGAACGAATATATCGTTTGAAAAATAGGTGTGAAAATCCCCATGTTAAACCTATGAGGGAAAACAAGGAAGTATAAATTTGTTCCTCCGCGAACTGCATCATGGGAAATATTTTGACCTTATAAGGACAGATTTTCGCGTCTCCTCTTTTGAAGAGGGAACAACGATTTCGAGAATTGTACGAGGCCCAAAATAGAAATAAAACCGATACAATATTTGCAATCTACTCTAAATTGCCTTTCATTTGAGTAAAGTAAAGCCATACTTCAGAAAGATCTCAAAATTTACGCAAATTCCCATTTTCCCGACCCCCCATACATGGCCCCTGGGGGTCATGGTGAAAAACTCGGAAAATATACGAAATAGATAGATGTTGTGAATACACTACCTACCTGTACATTTCAAACAATAATATTTTTAACTTTGGCTTAAATGAAAAACTTTGGCTTAAATGAAAAAGACTTTTCACGAAAATTCCAGCCATTTTTAAAGCGGGGACCACCTTGAATTTTTTGGTTGCATACAACTATTCACCAATATAAATCTTTCCACCAAATAGTGTTCGATTTATCTTCCGGACAGACGGACGGACGGGCGAACGGAGGGCTTCACTATATCCCTACCGAACTTCGTTCGTTGGGATAATAAATTGCATAACACATAATCAATATAGAAAACACAATAATTGAACAATAACTGAATAAGATAATAAAAATCACAGCACGTGTAATAAATGTCCAATACAGACCAGGTGTCGAATTGATTAATGCAACATTGTTGAACACACCTCATTTAGGGGAGGCATCAAAAGATCAATGTTTGATAGAAAACTAAATAAATCTAGTTTTTTTGGGGGGGGAGGGGGTCAAAGCTATTTCAGTTTGCTATCCGACAAATTTCAACATTTAATTTTTTTGCAATTTAGAGTCATTGAGTCATTAAAACATGTGAAAAGTCCGCGGTCGACGTCAACTTTCATTGTATTTAGTTTTGAGGGGGAGGGGGGGGGGGGGGTCCAACTAGATTTATTTAGTTTCCTATCAGACATTGAACTTTTGATGCCTCCCCTAAGCAAATACTACCCATATGTTAATTGAAACATTTCAAATATTTATTGAGTATGAAATAAATCCATAATGTGCAAATATTTTAATGGATTCAACACAAGAGACCGTGACCTTCTGCCAGGTTCCTAGAATACATTGCAAAATGCAAAGCAGAAATATGTGATAAGGCTCAGATAGTCACCGAACATCATTCAAAGATTTTTTATGAGCAGAATTCAACTTGGGTGCAATAAATAGAAAATTCTAATTTAATTTTATGTAATATTAGTTTTACTAATTCTTCTAGATATTAGAATCAATGGGAATCTTAGGATCCAGTGTCTCAGCTTGTAGAGTTATGTTCTTCTAAAACCAAGACTAAATGTTTGTAGCACCCTGTTCAAAAGTTTGAAATACACTGTGACAACTACATATAACACAATCTAAAAGCTTGTTACACACAGTCACATAATTTGTAAAACTGAAAACCAAGACTCATAGCTTGTAACACTCCCGGGGTAACACTTAAGTTTTACACCTTATATTACAGTGCCATAGCTTGTAAAGCACAATGTCAAAGATTGTAGTATGCTGTTATAACTTGTAACATTAAGTCTCAAACTTTAAAGTATGAAATGCTGTAGCTTGTAACAACAAGTTGCATAGCTTGAAACACCAAGTTTCATAGAGTGAAGCACCAGGTGTCAAAGCTTACAATATGCACTGTTTTGGAATTTGGCTTGCATCACAAAGTGTCAAAGCTTTTAGCAGTTGATGTCAATGATTGTGGTAGCATCCAAGATGGCTGCAAGAATGGATTGTTCTCATATTTCAATTATTCCAATATGACAGAACAAAATATTTGTGTTTTATAATACAAAAATATATTCTACTTCTACATGTTATAAAGCCTTTGTTCTCAGGCAGAATATGATACAATTTTATAAAATATGCATGCAGTTATAAAGGCTACTTGCATATCACGTTCCAGCCAATCAGAACAGATAATATGCATTTTTTATTTTACACCAGATGAACAGTAATTATAAAATGCAGTCAAACTTATGATCCTCATTAATTTCAAGTTGACCATTGAGTGAAAACTGATCATGATAAATCCTTTATTACATAAAGTAGCAAATTGTTGAATGTTTTTTAAACTTAAAATGGCACAATTTGAGAATTCAAATGGGGAAAACAAAAAGGTGTTTTTTCAAAATGAGGCAAAGTAGAGCTGGGACCATGTTGTAAATTACAAGCAGCAATAAAACTGATATGAGCATTGGATGAGATGAATGGCAAAAAATCTAAAATTGTTGATCAACAAAAGTTGGAGCTAATAAGCTCAAAAGAGACACAGAAAGTCTATTTTGGCAGAGACACAGAAATATAACTTGGTAAGAGGCACTTGCTTGAGCACTTGCATGTCTGGAGGTTACATAACATCATTGGTCTCACAGTTTCATTACATCATTTCAATAATCCTTAATGTTTAAAGGAACTTAGAGTTAGAGCTACGCATTGAGAGTAAGTTTTGAAAATACAAGTATTGTAAACATTTTACAATATCTTGCTTTTATCATTTCATGTCATGCCTATTTCTCAAAAGTCCAACAGTTATGCCTTATGACTTTATCTTGGGATAATCCTTTGAAGGTAAGCTGGCAAAAAAATTGAAAAGAGTGTTTTTTTTCAATTGTTATGAATTTAGACATTTCTGCATTTTATATCTTCGATAACTTCTATAATCAGTTATCTCAATTTTTTTTCTGAAAAAATTGGCATGATTTTAGCTTCCAAGATTTTACATTCTCTCTCCCTTCTAATTTCTCTAACATATATGTGTAGTTTAAAATGTACATTGAAACATCTGAACATGCAAGTCAAATGTGACTCAAATTTGATACTGTACTCCAGGTATTTTTCGAGTGTGATTTAATTTCACACTTTAAGCAATTGCGGTAAAAATCGCGAGAAATAATCGTCGCGAAATTGGCAAATTAAATCTCCGGGGATTTGTTATTACCTGGGACTCCGATGTATTTCGTTTTGTGTAAAACGTTAGCCCAGGGGTACTGGGATATAAATGGGATATAGCAATGATGTCTCTTACACTGGCTTATTATATCAATTAGACCAAAACCGGGAGAACAGTATTTCAAACAATCTTTGAAAATACACCAGAACACATAATTTACCTGAGTTTGTCTTAAAGAACACAGAAAATGACATTACAGATATCCAAGTGAGTAAGTTTAGCATCCCACTCAATTCATTGATCCAGAGAATACTCCTATTGACACTGATTTCATGTGTTAATCATCATTTCTATAAGCCACCATAGCGTCTACTTTATGTATAGTTGTTGTAAATGAACGCAATCGCACCTCTTGTGAGTTGGCAATAAAATGTGGCCCTGCTTCACCCCACGTCTCCGGGACATCCTGGTCTTTATCTGTATATGCCAGGATGTCAAACACACCTGCAAGTAGAAGATGAGCAAGTCACAAACAAAGAAATGCAGTTGTTTTCAATGTTTAACCAGAGACATATAAAACGATGTCTCTGGTTTTAACAAGGCATTAACATGCAAAATGTCACCACCTACCATATGTTGCAGATGGCAAATTCTAAACAAAATCCCCAAAAAGTTGAAGACAAAAACAATATGTTACCGCTTATTGGTGGTGACATAAAAATATAGATTTTCCTGGAATTTTGATGACTTTATGTGGCACCCAACCCCATGAACATGTGCATGCGAGTAAGTGACTGGGGCAGCTGTTATAGTTTACACTACATTCTTATTCATATGATTTCTATGTTTCAAGACCCAGCGAGCCAAAATGTTCATATTAAAACATTTCTGTTTTTGCTAAATATTTAATGTAGTGACAAAAACGATTCAAACACAGAAGAGAATTTGGAAAATATGCAGTCCACGACTTTCTGGGTTGATCAACACTCTTTAAGGCCTGGGATTGCGACTAGAAGAGGTTGACACCTGATTGGTTCATACTTGTTTTCATCCACGACCCATACATACATCATCATGGTCAGTGCAAGAATTGCATGAAATATAAACATTTTCCACGTTTGGACATTTTTCCACATACTTAAACTGAAACATTTTAGATAATTTTTCTGTCTGGACAAAATATTGCAGTTGATTCCCAGCATGCAGCCCGGGAAAATATCTCTGGACCTTTTCAACACACTCTGAAACTCTGGAGCTTTTTCAGACCAATCATTTGTTCAGGGTCAGGGTCTTATTTCCCCCAATGCATGAAACTAGTATTTGAATTAGGCCTCAATACATAATATACTTACATGCTGTTTCTAATAGAGGTAAAAATGTGACTGATGCAGTAATTTGACGAATAACTCCCATTATTTCTTTCTGGATTTCCTTTTCACTTTTTTCCCTAGGTTTGCTGCAAAATAAAAGATATACACCTGGTAATACATTGTATGAGGTGTTCAAATGTTGACATTGTGGAATACTACACAGGGGTTTCACTAGAGTTTCTCAAAATAGGCTAAATAAATTAAAACAATAAGCAAAATTAATGCAAATTATATATTAGTAACTAAACATGGAAAAGTTGAAAAGTCCCTAAAAACAACAGGCGATTTGGTGAAAACAATCAGTGAAAATCACCTGTTGCCTGCTGCTAATGAAACCCCTGACTACATGTAATTTTGTAATGATTTAATACCCCCAATCCCGAAATTATAAACTTTGAAAATGTTAATCTACTTGTAGGTTTCACTTCAAAAACACGAAATCAACATTTACATCCCCCTCCAAATAAAATTAACTTTGTTTTTCTATATCTATTTACAATTGGAGACCATTCCCAAGAGAGAATAAAGGTTTATTTCGAATTCCTAAATTCTGTTCTAGTTACTCTAAATCTGAAGATCTAAAAATTTCAAGTCAATTTGAAGATTAGCGATTGCCGACAACATACACTTCTTGATGGGGACATATAAGAATTATCAAATCATAGCAGCTATAAAAACTTAAGAACCTGCCATGAAATTATGAATATTACCATCAACCACCAAGGAAAATTAAATTTCCTATTATCGGCAGTTGTGGAATTACAAAGTTTGTTTCGTGAGTGGCCCAGGGCGAGGGAGTGAATGATGATTTCGTTACCAAAAAGTGTTCATTTTGTAATATTTGCCTAGTGAAAGCCAAATCAACATTCAAAAATTTTGTTAGATGAAGGGGGAGGTTAAATCAAGACTGTTGATATCTCTAAGATTTTGAAATTTGACCAACCTGTCTGTTTTTACTGTTTTATCGCACTCTACATTGAACTGCCATCTTTCCATCACTTCATTGGTATCTAGAGATTTTATGACAATTACTAACTTCTGCAGAGTTGTGTCTAGTAACCAGTCTAAAACAGAAATACAATAGAAGTAAAATCCAGCTCAGACAAAGTTTGTACTACATTTTATTATTTAAAAAAAAAAATTTTTCATGATAATACATGTAAAATGGAATGTGCATGTGGACCCAACACCCTTAGTAATTGGGTGTATCAGTGGTTAACATTAATGTTGAAAGGGTACAACTTGTACAATTGCTAGTTGAGTTTCTCATGGATTTCATTTTTCAAATTAACAAAACATTATAAAAATTAAATTAAACATAAATGAGCCAGGCCACAGGAAAAGGGGTCTTATCACAGATTTTTTCAATATTCATATTTTTGTTTATCTTAAAAAGCACAAATGAGCCATAACTTATGTTTTAACAATTTTTCCTTGCATATATAGACCAAAATGTCGGATTTGTATTTAGCACATTTTGCTCTTAATCTTGGGCACAATTTTGGCTCTGTAGAACAATTTTAATTTTTGTAATAAGACCGGTTTTCCTATGGCCAGGCTCAAATAATGTATCAAACTACAAGTGAATTTGTTTAATATTTCTTTTATTTTCGTTTCTGTTCCAAAAGAGGTTCCAAAAGTTTCAATTCTATGAACCATTTTCAGATTTTGATTTGGTTACATACCAGTTCTACACAGCTCTACCATAACTAACCTTTAACTTGTTTTAAGACTTGTTGAAGATAAACTTTCAGTTTTTCATCTGTGCTCATAAGCACTGTGAGTCCATACTTCTGTACCCGAGTGAATGTCTCTGGGGGATAGATGCCTCTCTGGTATAATATACTGTTGATGCCATACACTAAAAAATACGTAATCTTACATTATATTTAAATACATAAATAAGAAATGCAGTCTTGTTTGGAAGAATAACTCCCTTTTCGATTTTTAACTAGTCATTGCTAATAGGCTAAGGCTATCATTAAAGTTACATACACATCGGAAAAAGGTCTAAATGTAAACCAGTAGGCTGGTCATGGATTTTAATCGTTACCTAAATTTTCAATTGACTTATAACTATCATTTGTAGATCTAATTCTTGATATTTCAGAACTGATTGTCCGATGGGAATGACAGCCTAATAGGATGCCACAATCGTGGAATGCAGACATGTATTTTTATATTTATATAAACTAAATTAAGTACAGGAGTACATCCTTTTCAAATGTAGCCCTTTATTTATAAATAGGATGAATAAAACCCAAAAAGCTCACACGTCTTTAACTCATGACCTCATGGTTACAGTGACAGTGCCTAGCCTAGCACTATCATGTTCAAGCCCTACCTTAATCTGAAAAATTCTTGAACGACTGGATAATTAAATATGAGGCCAGGAATAAGTGGCTGGGAACGATCATTAAATGGATACTGTTAAAGCATCAATGGCAGGTTGATGACAAACTTGTTTTACATCAAATAACACAAAAATATTCAGATTCAGAAGGGTTACTCTAATTCTGCTTTTTGGAGACTGGATCTCTTTAACATGGGAAATCCTCACTTCAGCAAATACACGACTAGTCATTTAGATCTAAATTGTTGAAGGCATGAACCTCGCCAGTCCAAAAATTGATTTATTTCTCAATTATTGCCATATTTTTCAATTTCTTCTAGATATAGAATAAGTTTGGCCATCACAGCATTATATCTCGCCTACCTTTGTCAGTTCCCCACATAAAAGTGAACTTAGAATTCTGTCCAATTACATACATAAACATTTCTCCTTATTTTTTCTTCTATATCTGATGAGCTGAACGATTCTAAGAATGTGACGTCACCAGAACAGAATGGACTCGTCCATACTTAAGGAGACAAGGTAGGTCTATGCAGCTGCCATCTTTCAATAAAATGGTGAGTTCAGGTTTGTTCACCCCTTTTCAATAAACTCATCCAATACTTGGAACCCTGATGTCACTCAAACAAAGGGCCAGGAGAAATTTTTTGAGAAAATGACTGATCTGTCCTTTGATGTTTATATCGATTTTCAAGTATTTCTGTTACTAGCTATATAGAATGGATAAATACATGCAACGATTAAACATTGTGATATGTGACACAGTGTATTTATGGTAGAATCTAGCAATTTTTTCAAAAATGTTTTCGTTCAACCATCACCTTTGACTAGAAAGCATGAATGCATCAGGTATAAATCTTTACTTGGTGTATTCGCAGGCCTGTCACCTGTCCCGAGATTTAGCGTTTTTTCTGATTAACGCTGGAAATAACCATACAGTTTGTTCGGAATTTTCACGCAAATTGCATGTGTCACACATTTGCTTCAATATACTTTATCTCTTGTATGCCACTTATTTTAGGTGTTCCCAAGTTGACAGACCTGGTATTAGTCCCGATCTTTAAACATGCTCCCGGACCTACATGCATGAATGATAAACCTACAGCAACGTCTTAAAAATATCGTTCAAGTGGATATCATCATCTTTGGATAGTAAAAATGGAAGTATACATACGCTATGAGCTGACAAGACCTGTGCTGAGATTGACATCACTGATCATCAGAGACATGAGATCTCAGTTGAGAAAATCAAAAAAATTTTAAAATCTCACAATCACATTTTAGTTGCTAAAAAGGTCGATCGGGAGAGACGATTTTATCAGATTGGAAATCTAATGAAACATCTATATAGCCTCTAAATAAGGGTAAATAGTATACGTACTAAAGAATTCAGAAACAGTCTCCGTTGAACCTTTTAATGTAATTGCATTCTTCTGACAAGTTGATGCCGCCATGTTTTTAAAGTACCTGTTTGTAACACTAATTCTGATTGGTTAAAATATGAAAGGCGATAGACGATTGGTTCAAAGATTTTAGCGCTCCATGTGGTAACATTTAACACTAAAACACAATTGGGATTATTGTCCATGGAGCTAGGATTGTGCTCTTTATATCAAGTATTCTTAGGGAATAAATACCACTTGGAATGTCATGTTTTGTGCTTGTATTGATTACTATTATACTTTTTGACCAGACAACAATGTTTCCCCATGGACTTCTCATCACAAGAAGACTGTCCATGGTTTCCCCATATGCATGGGCTTTCAAGACTATCATACAATACAAATATTTTCTAACAAAATAATTGAGATATCTGATCAAATATATCGAATATGCATCGTATTATTATGTCCTAATTATAGAACATTGGGCTTCTCATTCTCATTGGGCATGTTATATGGAATTGTGAGAGCAAAAGTATCAAGTAACAAGGGCTTGAGGCAAGATAATAATTTACCCTCATTTTTATCTTTGATTAAGATAGGGTATAATTACCACCATGTATAAAAGCCCATAAAACTACACCCAGCTCACATAAACAACACAAAACACATGTGTAACTAAATGGTTTGATTTATTGCAGTGCCAATACATAACAATATTGAGACTATGCATTATTTTACAACAGGTTAGTACATACATACAAGTTGATTATCAGGAGGGAGGGGGTGTAAGGGGTGATTCAATTGTGCCTTTTCATGAACTTATCAATTATGAAGCAGCTTCTGATTTTGTCATCATTATTAATGTAATGGAAACAATAGTTTGAGAGGAAACACAAAAGTGCCATGAGGAAAAGGTAGATTAGAAACAGTTATCCAAGGTAAGGATTTTTTGAAAGAAAAACAGCTGTTAAGGAGTTAAGAAACAATTTCCAAGGAGAAAAAAGTAATTCAAGAGGAAAAAAATCATAGGGAAAAATGTGTAAGAAGAATGAAACAATAAGAGGTAACATTTAAAAAAATCCAGTATTTCAGAATGTTACAGCTTGAAACAATGGAACCAATTTTATTATACCAGAAGTGATGATTGAATGAATACACCCAATGCCCTCTTAGCCAGACCCCTGCATAGATGCACCTTTAAATTAGCCAAATACAAAGTGAAGATCACAGAATGTGGCAACTTTAGTTTGGTGGTGTGCGGGCATTCTCATTCATCAATTTATCATTACACATACAAATTCTATATAGACCTATTGTTATAAATCCTCCATGAGTTACTCTTTGAGCTACATTTCTAGAGAATGAATCATTGATTATACTGTATTATAAACATTACACAATAGTAATCAAGCTCGAGTGTGTGATATGTAAGATGTACAGTAATAATACAAATTGGAAATATGAGGTGTTGTGTCGTAATAAAGAAAATCACAATTTTGAAATACACTGTAGTGAGTTGGTGAATATGTACTTAGTTTTAATATCTCTAAATGTTTCATATAACAACACTTACAAGGCTAGCTATTTAACTGTTTAACACACTGGCTTGATATAAACACCTACGTAGATATTTATGAACACCTTGGCTCGCTTTTGTAAACATCTAGGATAGCTATTCATGAACACCTAGGCTTGCTATTATAAACACCTATTATAAACACATAGGCTAGCTATTCATGAAGACATAGGCTTGCAATTTATAAACACCCAGGCTAGCTATTCATGAATACCTAGGCTTGATTTATCAACATCTAGACTAGATATTTATGAACACCTAGACTTTCTATTATAAACACTTAGGTTTGCTATATATGATTTAAGGTAGGTCTGCATGATGAAAATGTTCATGAATTTTTATGATTACTCATGAACAATAATTAATACCATGGCTGATATTTTTACATTTCTTTACATTTTTAGATATTTTCCACATATTTACACTCTATGAAAATGGTAAACAAATAATAAAAATACGTCGTCTTGGCCTACATAGAATTGAAATATCATTTCCACAAATTGTTTTCATTCATTAAGTAAAAGTGCAGAGCTACCTTAAAGCATATGAAGAATATTTGATTTAACTTTTAAACAAGTAACAAACATTTTGGCTAAACTGTTGACTATAACTATTGACTATTCATTGGTAATGCACGTTTTGCAACTTAAAAAACAAAAAAATACAAGCAATTCTGTTATAATTTAATTACAAAGGATCCATATCAATGAAATATGACAATTATTACACTGATCAGAGATCATATTCACTTCGCCATTATAGCTGTTCCGTTTCAGATGAGCATATCCAAACCTACAAATATCAACTTTTATCCTATTCTCAGTGAATAAAAAAAATCATTCATCTCATATCCATCCATTTTTCAACCCTGTAATACATGTACATGTAATATCTCATCTTGTGAAAAGTTGTCAACCTTACATATCAGTATTATGGGAACAAGATCCATACATTGGTCAGAGTAACCGACCTCCTGTCATATATCATGTCATTCCAAGATAAAACCAATATATAATCCCTCCCATTGGATAAAATCCATCTCCCACAATATGTTATGAGAACACTGAAATTAGCATTGTTTATATAAGTACATACATATATAACATGTAAGCTCCCAAGCTTAACCTGATGCTAGATGAAGCAATTGGATAATATTATAGACCTTCAAACCACTTACATACACCAGCATATACATATAATAGGCTATATATATACATACATATATGTACATCTTGATAGTCAATTCACTGATAGGTAGTCAATAGTCTACCTCAGATTATAATTACTGTATATACAAATAATAGAAATGAACAAAAATGTTTTAAGGATCATCTAAAGGGGTCTTCCCTCATTGGTTGATACTTTTTGGTGTTTAAGACAATCCAAAAAGTTTTCTGGGATGGCATTACTCATTAATAGGAAAAGAATGATTACATGTATTACACTATCATGAAAATCAATGATATTTTCATCCCCCAGAATCTCATCTATGCACATATTGTATGGATGTATATTGCACATGCTGTATCACAACTTAATATATTCTACTTTTATCATCTGCTAATGGGACTATAAACCACATAACAGAATAGTTGGCATACATTTTCACAGTTTACAATGCATCCAGTGTTGGTAGAAAACCATTCCATGCATCTGTGTCGTTAATTGTGAATATTTGATCTTCTGATACATACATTGTTTCAGCTTATGCAAAGATTAGACCTTACTATGCACTATTATGTTGGGTTTCCAAGGGTTTCCAAGGTTACTCTGGCAAGGCCTACTATTACATTTTGTGAAACTGGTACCCACATTGAACCCAAAGCTCTTTAACATGTAACAAAAAGATGTGTGGGTGGTCCATAGTGGACAACAGGAATGTTCTGTTTGCAATAGAATATAAACATACCTAATAATCAGTACTATGTACCGCAATATAATTTGGAATTAACAACACAAGTGACATTCTATATAATACAAATATGTACAGTTTGGAGATACTCCTCTCTCAATATATTCTTTGACTACTAATAATACCGTCTGCCTGAATACTCTAGCGCCATCTTTTGGCAAATAATGGTTCATTGCTCACATGGATTTAAACAAAACAGTGACTAGGCCCTATTTGTTTTTGGATTTCAATACAGATGTGATGAATATATGATTTGGCTTTGCACATCAGGAAATATGCCATGTACATAATAGCAAATCCCTCCAATACATTCTGCAAATTGGCAATAATTTGGTTTCAAAGCATATCCAGGCATACGTGATATTAAGTCAGGGGCTATTCCCTCCAGCGCTATATATACAAAGCATAATTCACTTCCCACGAACATGTTCAAAGTATCTACATATTATATATCACCCTACCTACATGTTCTAACATTTAGGTACAAATAAGTATCTACATTCGTTGCTTATGTGACAACACAACAATACATCTAATGCATCCACTAATATTCTGACAATTCTGAGCACATGGGGTAAAAACGAAATGGATATTTAAAGATACAGATTCTCAATGTTGGGTCTCAAGCTATAAAAGTTGAGCCGACAGTTTATAAAGCAGTAAATGACTTAACAATTACACGTGTCACTGTAATGGGATACAATTCAGTATTAATACTCAAGGTATTATATGTCAGGTTGCGGTGCCATGCATATTTACAATTAAACTGAACTTCATCTGATACAGCAGAAATTGCAAATTGATAACATAGCCTTGTATCAAGTCTGATAATACACAACTCCAAGGGTATAGCCACGATGTTAAAATAGGTGAGGCAAATTCAAACAGATGAGGCAAATTCAAATAGACGAGGCAAATTTCAGTTAATGGAATATTACACTAACATTAAGCTTCATTTTTCACATTTTCAGTTTTAAGTATGTCTGAATAAATGTTTCAGTTAAATTATGATGGGCTCGCCTGTGTTACACCTGGCTATACCAAGGAAATCCAATTCATACAGTTTCTCCCACTGTTGGGGAAAGATATCCATGAAGTGAGGTTGATACAAGGCTATAATGTTGTCATAATATTTTCGAGTAGTTATCTTAATGTGATTATTCAAATATTGTATCATAAAACAAATCAGCCGAGCGTCCATTTGAAGTAATCTCTATTCCAAAATCAGTATGTGTTACCATGGCAACACTCAGGCAATGTGGAAGATGTTTGCAATATTTCCGTGCTCCAGATAAATTTTATAATTGTTCGTGAGATCGCAGTCATACTTGTTGTCATGTAATGCTATAGATGTATCAATGCACCATATCTGGCTTCCACATGCTGTTAAGACTCCACAACTGATTAACAATTCAAGCTTTTTATATATCCATTTTCTATCAATTAGTTTCGAACCACTATCATGCATTTTGTACTATATGTGCGATCAAAATCATCCTAAATCTACTAAAATTCACAATGAACTATGTTCTAATTTTTCTCAATTTCTCTTGGTAGTGAACAAATCCATGGTTTCCCTAGATCGTGGTACATTTGACTAGTGGGGTTATCAGTCATATAATTGTTGTTGTTGTTGTTGTTGTTGGAGACAGTCTGCAGTTACACATCTCCATAGTAACCATGTATCAACTACCATCGAAAGTCAACAACCTGAAAAATAAGTTATAAGTTAAACAAAATCACATGTAGACTGGCTACAATGCCATAAGAAGTCACAAATAAATTCTTAACACAGGAGGGGGATGAAAAAATATTTGAATTTTTTGGCCCTGTTAATAGAAACTTTTGGAGCTATTTCTCTTAATAAGGCTCTATTTTTCAAAAACTGAGACTTATCAAAACATACCCATTACAACACAGATCTGAGCTAGTAAATTACAAGAGATGTAATGAAAATAGTAAAATCCATTGCTTAATATGGAAATTAATTAAAAGCACATACTGTAGCTTAGATGCTGCTGAGAGATTGCAGTGGTGACATTTGAATGTTAATACAATATACACAGGGGGAATATAATAGGTCTGCAATTCAACCTTTAAACCTTAGAAATATACATTGAAATAACTAGTAGACAAATTATCAAACACATTGTGATGTGATGTTTCATTATACTGTGTCTATAGTGAGTTTCATCAAATATTGCATTAGTATTAGTTGCTATAAAAAAGGAAAGAAAATCCAGGTCATTATAAACAGCATTAGGACAAGCTATAATAGCTCTCATAGTTTATGTTCATAATTTCATTCTCTGTTCTCTCTGGCAATGTTGAATGTTCATTCAAAAATATGTTCATGTAATAAACTAAAAAGGTTTTACACCAACACTGATATTACAGTTTCAACATCAGCAGCCCACATCCAAGTTTCGCCAGATATTTTTACGAAAATTGCCTGTAATGTTTCGAGGAATTTTGTAACTGTTTCTATGTTAAATTATAGTTTTCAATAATTCTATCTATTGAAAGTGAATAATAATTCTATCTAGTGAAACCACTATAGTGGATATGCATCTTATTATTTACTTGATAAATAAATTCACTTTCTAATTAATTCTCCCGGAAGAGAGTTTTCAAATCAAGTGGGCGATTATAATAAAAAGGAATTTCCCCCTTAAAACTGGAGACATTCAGTAGTGACAGTGAGAGCATTTTTGCACTTAAATCAGTAAAGTTCATCATTCAAAATCAGGCTGTGGGTGATCAAATAATGTATGTGCATTTATTCCATATTAACATGTTTTCCTTGGAAAATAAATTTCATCCTTGAGAAAATGAATTTTCCTTGGCCAATATTATATTTTCCCTTGAAATAAAATTCATATTCTACCCTTCCCATTAAATAACCTCTATTTATCCGAGATAATATTTTAATAGAAAGGACCAGGTCTTTTCCACAATGTCTTTAAAACTAAGCCCTTTGAAGTTATATTTTCAGCTTGGTGAAGTGATGCATCAAAGAGGCCCAGAGATGACATAAAATCAATTCCTCCTGCTAAATCTCTTTTATTGCCAGCCTCAATCGTTTCCTTCTTGTCCATTATGCAAGTGAAGCAGAGGACAAAATTCCAATTTGATTTAAAATATTTGATCTAAAAGTCTTTTATTTCCTACATTTAATAGGTGTATTAGAAATGAGAGTTTCATTTAGCAGCAAGCAATGGAGGAATTACCAAAATGACCAGTTGTTTTGAAGAATTTTACAAAAAGTTCCATTGTTAAGTATATTTTTCGATAGTTTTGCCTGTTATCAAGTATCCAATGCATTGACACGAGATTGGTGAAAAATATCTCCATTCAGCGAAACTCATATTTGATTATCATTGACTGACCATATAATAAGCTTGATACTACACAGAGGCAGCGTTGCTTCTAAACAACATAAATGGCTAAAAATCAATAATAATGCAGGGTCTAATATATCAGAAGGAACATGAATCGCCCATGAATCTCATAATGCCTGGATGAAATAATTAGCAGAACTGATGAGAGAATTTGGTTAAATGTCAATGTTCTTGCCCCTGAGGGTCATAGCGTGTCGGTTTATTCAAATTTTTCTTGTTACACAGGACTTTGGTTATATTGGATTTTTTTAACATGGCCTTGTGGCACTAAAAATATTCACCCTTGGCTTATGCCAAATAAACACACTCTCACTTCGGATTAATACACAGTTTTTAATTAGCAATAGGCAATATTGGCGATTATCGGGTTGTTTTGACCAATGTAACCTGTTGTTATGAGGAATTCTGCAAAAATATTTGTCATATAACCATGCATTATTTTTCAAAATATTTTAGCCATACGCTCCTGAGGTGTCTCTATCGCTGTTATGTGAATACATTTATATGATTTGAATAGATAAACAAAATTTGCATGTTGCCTAAAATTCTAATGACGCTTCTGCCATTGTGTGTAACATTGTGATATGCAGACAAAATCTGATATATGGCATTGATATGAATACTGAACATTACCTACCTCATGTAAGCTCTTGGTTTTGCAGTCTAAAATCTAGTAAGTTGGCGGAGTATACTCTTGCTGGGAGTTGTCAGCTGGGGCCTGGAACGGGGGTTGCTGCTGCTGGTAGGGATCCTGGGCTTGACCCTCCCCTGGGTAGGAAGAATAGGGGGAAGGTTGCTGGGTAGGCTGGAAGCCCCCTTGTGTTGGATCTTGTTGGTATTCACTCTGTCCGCCACTTGTGGAGAATGCATCAGCTGCACCGGAACGGTAACGCTGTACAGCCAGAAAGGTTAAACCTCCCTGGAAGCATATCACAGTAAACTATTAGAAAGGTGTTTGGATATATTAGAGAGGTTTTTAGATATAAGAGAGGTGTTATGATATAAGAGGTGTATTTTGATATAAGAGAGGTATTTAGATATTAAGAGCTGTTTAGATATTAGAGAGGTGTTTTGATATTGGAGATGTGTTTGGATATTGGAGAGGTGTTTGAATATTGGAGAGATGTTTGGTTATAAGAGAGGTGTTTGGATATTAGAGAGGTGTTTGGATATTGGAGAGGTGTTTGGATATTGGAGATGTGCTTGGATATTGGAGAGGTATTAGGATATTGGAGATGTGTTTGGATATTGGAGAGGTATTAGGATATTGGAGATGTGTTTGGATATAAGAGAGGTGTTTGGATATTAGAGAGGTGTTTGGATATTGGAGAGGTGTTTGGATATTGGAGATGTGCTTGGATATTGGAGAGGTATTAGGATATTGGAGATGTGTTTGGATATTGGAGAGGTGCTTGGATATTGGAGAGGTATTTGGATATTGGAGATGTGTTTGGATATTGGAGATGTGCTTGGATATTGGAGATGTGTTTGGATATTGGAGAGATGTTTGGATATTAGAGAGGTGTTTGTATATTGGAGAGATGTTTGGTTATAAGAGAGGTGTTTGGATATTAGAGAGGTGTTTGGATATTGGAGAGGTGTTTGGATATTGGAGATGTGCTTGGATATTGGAGAGGTATTAGGATATTGGAGATGTGTTTGGATATTGGAGAGATGTTTGGTTATAAGAGAGGTGTTTGGATATTAGAGAGGTGTTTGGATATTGGAGAGGTGTTTGGATATTGGAGATGTGCTTGGATATTGGAGAGGTATTAGGATATTGGAGATGTGTTTGGATATTGGAGAGGTATTAGGATATTGGAGATGTGTTTGGATATAAGAGAGGTGTTTGGATATTAGAGAGGTGTTTGGATATTGGAGAGGTGTTTGGATATTGGAGATGTGCTTGGATATTGGAGAGGTATTAGGATATTGGAGATGTGTTTGGATATTGGAGAGGTGCTTGGATATTGGAGAGGTATTTGGATATTGGAGATGTGTTTGGATATTACAGAGGTGTTTGTATATTGGAGAGATGTTTGGATATTAGAGAGATGTTTGGATATTAGAGAGATGTTTGGATATTAGAGAGATGTTTGGATATTAGAGAGGTGCTTGGATATTGGAGAGGTATTTGGATATTAGAGATGTGTTTGGATATTGGAGAGGTGTTTGGATATTGGAGATGTGTTTGGATATTGGAGATGTGTTTGGATATTGGAGATGTGTTTGGATATTGGAGAGATGTTTGGATATTAGAGAGGTGTTTGTATATTGGAGAGATGTTTGGATATTAGAGAGGTGTTTGTATATTGGAGAGATGTTTGGATATTAGAGAGATGTTTGGATATTAGAGAGGTGCTTGGATATTAGAGAGGTGCTTGGATATTGGAGATGTGTTTGGATATTGGAGAGGTATTTGGATATTGGAGATGTGTTTGGATATTACAGAGGTGTTTGTATATTGGAGAGATGTTTGGATATTAGAGAGATGTTTGGATATTAGAGAGATGTTTGGATATTAGAGAGATGTTTGGATATTAGAGAGGTGCTTGGATATTGGAGAGGTATTTGGATATTGGAGATGTGTTTGGATATTGGAGAGGTATTTGGATATTGGAGATGTGTTTGGATATTGGAGATGTGTTTGGATATTGGAGATGTGTTTGGATATTGGAGAGGTGTTTGGATATTGGAGATGTGTTTGGATATTGGAGATGTGTTTGGATATTGGAGAGATGTTTGGATATTGGAGAGGTGTTTGGATATTGGAGAGGTGTTTGGATATTCGAGAGGTGCTTGGATATTGGAGAGGTGTTTGGATATTGGAAAGGTGTTTGGATATTGGAGAGGTGTTTGGATATTGGAGAGATGTTTGGATATTGAAGATGTGTTTGGATATTGGAGGTGTTTGGATATTAGAGAGGTGTTTGGACATTGGAGAGGTGTTTGGATATTGGAGGTGTGTTTGAATATTAAGGAGGTGTTTGGATATTGGAGAGGTGTTTGGACATTGGAGAGGTGTTTGGATATTGGAGGTGTGTTTGGATATTAGAGAGGCTTCACTATAAATGCATAGATCTCTGACTGCAATACACAGCTCTTCAAACATAGCTCAGTCAGTATTTATAACACAGTCATCATATATCATATTTCACTTCATATTGCAGCATTGGAGTCATGCTAACTTTCAACAAAGCCATCAGTAATACCATATAACACTGTCATGTTTTGATGATAAAACATTCAATGCAAAGATAAATATATTGCAGGAACATGCAGGCTAGACTTAACTTTATACCAATATCAAACTAATGAGGCAATATGTAACTAACCCACTGCATCACTGCAGCTGCTAACACACTATGTGTGTGATCTGATTAACAATTCAATAACCAACCTCCAACCATGCTACAATAAATACTACATATCCATCTACTCTTGTGCCCTGACCCTGTGGTTTGTACCACCACCTTTTTCAAATTCTTGAGTACAGAGTCCAGGCCCGTATACAGGGCATGGGGGGGGGGGGTTGGGTCAGGGGGTTATTTCAAAACCATGCAGTTTTTCACCATTCTGAGCACTATTAAAGAGATTTTGGGCAAAAGTTGTCAAGAGTGACCCCTCCACTAGAATTTTTTGAAATTTCCCTTGGGAAAAGATGGCTATGGGGCACAGGCATTCACAAATTCAACCACAGACTGACAGTTTGACAGCTGATTTATGGCCAAATCATTAAATCAAACGCTACCTTTTATAACACAAATATACAAACATCAAATAACAATTTTCTGTTTTCTTTTGCTACTTATTCATGAAATATTTTTGAATGAAACCAACAAATCCAGGCAACTGATGGTACAAATTAAGCTGTTTTAAAGATTGCTCCTTTTGTAGTTGAGTGTAAAATACTTTTGAAACCTAAATAGAAAAAATCACAAGATGGTCAAGTTATTATGTCAGCCAAATCCTTTAGATCTAATACAATGCATTCATTAATTCACAAAGTAAGGTAGCACTTCATATATCAAAAATTGATTTGCGATGAGAGAATGCACTGGAATCAATGGCTAGAATGTTATTAAGAATTGTGAGGTAGTTAGCATGGTATTGATCTGCATGAATGAGATCAATATAGGATTCTTCCACTGTATGCATAGCCTTGTCTTACACTCTATAAGAGTCCAATCAACCCATACAGAATATATCTAATGTCAGATATATCACCTAACATGAAGTGATAGGCCAAAATTTAGCGGAATCAAGTTAGGAAAAGATGTTCCTATCAAAATTAATTAGATTTAGTGCCACAAAATTTGTAAGGTGGGATTTGTTTGGACATAGATGAGAATTATGTTAGATTGTGTATTGTAAGTGGAAGATCTTAAACTACTCAGTTCATGTGTATTCAATTGAATGGAACGCAAAGTAGTGATGACTTCAATACGCCTTCTACTGCAATTTCCAAAAATTCAAGCTTTTGAAACAATTAAGGAATACGAAAAGTTATTTTGTTGCATTCTGGCATTATAAATTTAGCGACAGACGCACAAATTAAACCTACCATGGGCTAAAGTAAAAATTAGTCTCTATTTAGAACACAATCATGATTTTTATTGACATCTTTTTGCTATTCTGGAACTCACTACTCGTCACAGCTTCTGTTCTACAAGAAACATGGCTGATAAGAACTGAGATGTCATGTTTACCACCATGCCTTTTCGCTGTCTTTTCATTGTTAATTAGACTCCAGATTGAAAATCTGGAGTCTATTGTTTTTGCCTGTTTTCTTATTATTCCTCTTTCTTTCTTTCTTTCTTTCTTCCTCCTAACAGATTTTCTCTCCAACTATAACATCTTACTTAATCCAACCTACATGGTTGACTAGGGAATGTATCTGGCTTTCTGGGAAATTAGGTCAAATTTTTATCTAGGTCATAGGTCAAGAACTAGGTCAAATCTTGAATTTTCACTAATTCACCACTTTTCTCAGTCGTCTTTCAATATTTTCGCTCCGGGTATTCTTCATCATGTACCTATGACAAAAAGCTAATTCCAAATGGCAAATCGTTTTTTGATTACTCTTACCGATTTTGAGATATTGCGTCCGAAAAGTAGGTCAGAACAAAAAATTCTCCAAATTCAAGGTGTGAGTTATGGAATATATGTAGAATTTTCCAAGGAATCCGAATCTGCAAACCAAGTGTCAATCCAACTTTCGGTTTGGAAGTTATGGCGTTTTGAAAGCTCAAAAATTGCTAAATTTGGTGCCTATGTTAGGGGCGGGGTCAAAATATCGATGTTCATATGGAGACGAAAGTACTTTCGCGAGGGGGGAGGGGGTTTTTGGGCACTTTCGTTGACCAAAAAAACATCGATAATTCGGATCTGATATACAAAAAATAATTGGACTTACCCACTTTTTCTGGCGCTATGTTCTGATAAAAAGGCTTGTTTTCAATAGTTCGTGAGCTTTTTTGTGTGATAGGTCCAAAATATCGGTAGATAAAGACGATAATTCGATCATTTTTCAAATAAATTCCGTACTTTTCCCTCCTCCTTTTGAAGAGTTCAATGCAGTTAAATTGCGAACGTGTGTTAATTCACCGTAATAATAACCCGGCAAATAGGATACGATTATGCCTGAAAATCAATGTGTTTTTTGAAGTGAACTAAGCTTTCGTCTAGTGGGGGGGTGGGGGGGTTGTTGTCCAAACGAAATTACTTTCGTCTCCATATGAACATTGATATTTTGACCCCGCCCCTTAAGTCAATGGGAAAAAAGACTTTTTCGAAGTGTAAAAAAAATACAAGATATAGACTGAGTACAGCTTAACATAATGAATGCTTATAAAAGAAGGCGACCTCAAAAGCTACATAGCTTCAAAATTTGGACACCAAAATGCCTAGGTCAAAATC